AGTGACTGGCTTATAAGCTTTCAAGATGGAACCTAGATTCAGAGGGCATGAAGGAAGGTAAAATCTCCACTGAGTAGTATTCAATCTGTCTAGGCAGAGCTGATGAAATGAAATGTGGATGGGTCTCTTGTGATACAATAGTGAATAATTGTTATCAGGACTGCTTGTGAGGGATGGAAATGTAAAGGTAGATGTTTTGTAGCAAGGAGGGGAGTGATTATCTTTTCAGTCTAGGAGCGGAGGTCCCTGGGACCATTAAGAGAGAAGAGCGGTGAGCGGGACCCTACCCAGAGAAGCAGTGATGCCTGAGATGGAGGCAGAGACAATGATGTGGAGAGCTGGAGCAGCTGGGGACTTTAGACTCAGAGAGGGAGAGGGACTGTGTGCTGATGACTGGGGGGCAGGCTTGTAGTGCATACCCTTTGGTTTGTTGATGATGCATGGAGGGAATTGTAACCATGGCAATGAAACGATATACGAAAAGGATGAATGTAAAACTAATGTTTTCCCATGTGAATTATCACAGAATTCACAACAAAACATTAATTTTTTAAAAAAGGAGACCATCCCAGACTGACTGCCAATTTTGGGGGTTAAAGTTATAGGATGTTGCTTAGAACTGAAAGTAGAGATCCTGTCCTGGAGCTTCTCAGAGCCCCTCTCATTGCAGAAATGGGGCCTGGGACTGAAAACCTCCACTATTTAAGGAGTGGTGTCTTGGTCACAATCCTTGCCACATGACACACAGCAGTAGACAAAGCCCTGTTTTCAGAGAGATGTTCTAGGAGGAGGTATCCTTGGGGCAACCCCAGCTACCCCACACTCACCTGGCCGTCCTCATACTGTTTGGTCAGCCAGCCTTTCTTGAAATTCAGCAGGTCGGGCTAAGGATGAAAGAAAAATGAACTGTTCAGAGGAAAGCATCATAGTGCTCAGGTTGTAGCAAAGGGACATCTAAGAGGGCACAGAGAAGGGGGGCACTAGGAAGGAGGCCTTAGCCACCGGATGTGTCCTCAACACATGTGTCTTGAGGGAAAGGCGTGGACAGCAGTGGCCACAGCTGCTTTCAAAGAAACACCTTGTTGAGGGTTGCTGGTGTGAATATGACACACTAGAGGCCAAGAAGAGTGGGGCTCAGGGGGACAGAATTCACCAAGTAGCGTAAATGAAGGGGTCACTCAAAAGGTGTGTGGAGGGAGAGCCCAAAGCTCTCTTGCAGAAGCCACAGAAGACCGAGAGCAGAACTGGAGTGGCAGAGACTGTGCCAGCATGTGGGAAGTGGTAGCATTCCATGCCCCTGCCCCACTAGCATTACCAATGACTAGATGGTGCCTGGCTACTGCTACCGACCTCTCTGATCAGGATCACAATATAAGTCCTGGACAGAGTGGGAGAAAAATATAGGACAAAATTAAAAAATTAAAAAACACTAAACTTGCAGTTCTGATGGAGACAGGTGGAGCCCATGAGACTGTGGTCCTTAGACACCCTTCCAGTCTGGAACTGAACCTACTCCTGGAGACCACGTTTCAGCCAAACAATAGCCTGGCCTACAAAGTGAGCAGTAGCACCCTTGAGGAACACGTGCCTCAGAGCAGTCAGTCTTACGAGACCAAACGGGCATGATGTGCCCCAAAACACGTGTTCAGACGGCAGGAAAAGTCAGGTAAGATACAGATGGGTGAATGGGAACAGGGACCCTAGAGAGGAAGTGGGAAGAGTGCTGTTACATTGTAGGGACTGCAACCAACATCATGAAGCAAAATGGGCATCAACTGTTGAGTAGAAAACTAAGTTATTCTGTAAACTTTCACTCAAATCATAATAAAATGATTTGAAAAAGAAAAAAAGAGAAAGAGCAGCATCATCAAGAGAACAATGATGTGCTGCCTCCGCCCTGCCTACCTTGCACTCCCAGATGTGCAGACTTGGCCCAAGGTGCAACCACGGGGGTGGGGGTGGGGGGGAATAACTGGTTGTTCACTTGCACGGCACCTGGCACTAGCCATCTGTCCCACGAGACAGGCCAGCACTCCTCTGCCTTCAGGTACTTTCTGCTTTTTCTAGTACCATCTTCATCAAACACTAGCTTTGACATCAAAGGACAGGAAGGGAATTGGAGAGAACAGATAAGGAAAGGCAGGATAACAAGTAGCAACAGTGTTCTTGGGCCCTCTGCTGCAAACACTTGCATGAAACTCAGACCAAAGGAAAAACCAAACGTCCTCCCAGTAGGAAACCTTCCTTGCTCCAGCTCTGTGGCCCTGTAAAACCTGTGGCAGCTGGGAGTCCCAGGCCCCTGGCTGGCTGGAGGCCATGGTGTACCATGGTGTAGGAAACAAACAGGAGGCGGGGAGTGTAGTCAATGGACCCCAGGAGAGAACAGGCTTTCCCTGAGGAAGTGGGGCTGTGTCCTAGGCTTCGGCTACCTTGTCCCATTCTCCCTGGAATTTTCCATCTGACCATGTTCTGCCTGATACATGAGGAAGAGTCCATATCCGGAACCAGTGAAACCTGAAGCAGAGACCTGCTTTCCTGCCTATGGCACGAAAGCTCCCAGTATATATATCGGTTCTTGCCTCCAAACAGCACAAAATCCAGCAGAGTCTCCCTGCTATTGCCCTAAGTTGAAGTCAGGATTCTCCTGTAGTGGCTGAGGTGGCATTCCTCACAGGACATCCACTCAGAGCTCAGGATACCGCTATTGGTCCTATATGGTAGGCCCAGAAGAAGGAAAAGCAGTGGGGCCACTCTAGGGTCTGCTTCTGAGTCCCATGAGTTAGTGGCTAAGAGAAGTGGCACTTGGAGCACAGACAGAAACAGACAGGGCCAGAGGGCAGAGAGGCAGGAGAACAGGTCCAAGGGTCTGGTGCACAGCTACTGACTGGGCTCACCGTCATGGAGGGCTCCGTGGACCTCCTGTCCAGTGACTTGGCTCTTCGCTGTGGAGACAGAGGGGGAGCTGGTGCATCTAGGAGCGGGGCTGTATGGACTTCGGCGGTGAGGTCCTATGGCAGAGAGCAGCGCTGGTCAATGTAGCCCAAACCTGGGGGACATCTGACCCAAGGCTGAGGGGCCTACTGCAGTTTGGCCAGCACTTGTCTAGGTTGGAGGCCCCACAAGGTGCCCAGAGAATGAAAAGATGATCTGTCCAGCCTCACAGAGCAAACGTGTAGCAAAACTAGCATGAGGATCTGAGCCCTGGACTCTGGCAGTGTCTCTCCACTACACTCCGTGGGGTTCTGACATCCCATCACTCCCCTGGTCCCCATGGCCACCCCACCCCCACCCCTTAGCTTCTCAGTGCTTCAGAAGGATCAACTCTGGCTTGCTGCAGTAAACACACAAGGATGTGAGTGGCTAGCTGCAGAGCCAGGCGGAGGCTACCTGTCTACTGTATGTTAGTACCCTGCACAAGAAAGAGAGATACCATGGGAAGGAGAAGAAAAAGCAGCTGTAGCAGAGGGTGGGCTGCCCAAAAGATGGGCAGAAAAGCTGACTCTCCTTTGTGAGTAGAGAAATGGGGTATGACTGCCCCTCAAAAGAAAGAGGAAGGAAGGAGTTGTTTTCAGCCTTTTTGCTGGGGCCACTTCAGAGAGGAAGAGAAGATTCTAGAAATAAACCTCATTAGGAATATAAACTTGGGATATAAACCTCATTAGGATATCCTTCTGCAAAAATAGATGAAGTTGTGGCATGAAGATGCATAAGATCATCCCTGGCCTGCCCTCCAGAGGCTCACTTGAGAAGATCAGAACAGAACAGCAATTAGGAGACCTTGAGAGAGTCTACCAGAAGTGGGAGAGGCAGATCACCCCAAGGTGGGCCTGGAGGGGGTTGGAGTAATAGGATGGTCTCCAGAGAACATAATGACCATGCCTTGAACATCACCATGAAACCCTGAGAGCTTACCCGCTTCCTGGGGAACACCCGCTTCTCACTGCGGCCCTGGCGAGTATCGCTGGCTGGCATTGGCCCAGCTAGTGCATTGGTCTCCATGTGCTCTGCCTTCTCAATGTCCAAAGCCTCGAACTTTTCAATTACCTGGGACCTCCTGTAGGAGAAGACACAGAGGCTGCCGACACAGATAGGGTTTCTCCAGTTCCCATGTAGGTCTGACCTAGAGTCGAGCAGACACTCCTTTACCGACATCCTCACCCTGTTGTCCCGGATGAACCTCTCTGCAAAACAGCCCCAAGTAGGCTTCCAGGGCACACCATGGTTGGTCCACCTCTGAGACCTTCTGCCCCCTTATTGCTGAAGGATGAGGCCACCCCCCCTCATCCCCGCCCATCTCTTCTTGCCCCTGCCCCAGAGGCTGATGTGGTCATACATCAGTATTGCACAGCTGGTTACCCAGCACCCTCTCCTGACCACACCGAGAGTCAAGAGACCACCACCACCTTCAAAGGGGAAACAGCTTCAGTTCCCACTGCCGTTCATCAAAGGATCATTATGCAGTCCCCACCCCGGGCATTCAAAATTTAGCAAGAAAAAGGCCATGAATTAACACTGTTTCTGCCAATAGTGAAAAGAACCAAAACCAAATTTAAATGAAACAAAAAAAGCAGGTTGATTTCATGTGAAAAGGCTGGCGGCATCATCGGGTTGTCTACTGCTGGAGACGGAGCTGAGATGGGAGCGAAGCAGGCGGAGGAAGGACGAGTAACGTCACAGCGACACAGCAGGAGGAGGTGGAGAGGGACAAGACCTGGAAGAAAATAAGGCTGAAAAATGAATACTCAGAGAAAGAATTGTTTTTAAAAATCAAATAATGGCAAACCAAAATTATCCAGAGAATTAAAGGAACAAAAACCTGAGGTGATGGCGGATGAGGGGCACCACCACCAATCACATGATGGTCCTGGGCAGCGATCTCCCCTGGGCAGTGGGGGCTGCAAGGTGCCCAGTCTCACACTGGTGTCCTCTGACCTCCCAAGGGCTGGGGACTCCAGCCCCTCATCAGACAGAGGCTTGCTTTCCAAGGGACACCTGGGGGGCAGCACAAGCACCCACAGCAAGCATCTTCCTGCACTTGGCAGCACAGGGGCACCTCCTCGAATTCTAAATGAGTGGCGAGACTTAAGGATTCGGAGTGAAGGCCCATGAGCCATCAGAGTGAAAACTAATGGGAAGATGAAGAGGGAATAGGCTCGGATCCTCAGATCTCCAAGAGACCAGTTTTTTCTCAAGGAGGGTCAGTGTTAGCAAACATCTTCATCAAGGAAGGCAAAACTCCCAAGGGCTGACTACTAGGGAAGTGGAGGGTCAGTGCCTAAAGCAAACAACCAATCAGTGGTGAGGTGTGGCAGCAGGGGCAGTGAAAGAAGCCAGAGGATGAGAGGGTACAGGAAGCTAAAGAAGCTGCGAGAGAGTTCCTGGGCCAGGTAAAAGTTCTGGCAGATGCTTTAGCTGGTTGGACACATCCTGAATCACTTGGTGAGATGTGTAAACTCCAGCGAACTGAAAGGCCTTTGTATGAACCCAACAGTGGCGTTCAGGAAAGCAGCAAGGCACAGTGAGGTGAGGCACATGCTTCAGAGCTGCAGAGAGGGAGGAGAGTGGAGGGCATTAGCAACAACGTCTCTGTACAGGAAGTAGTCTGTCTAGCAAGTCCATAGTATGTTGTCAGGAGGGAGTTACTAGCTGGCTTCCCTAAGTGCAACAGCCAAGGCCCCACCCTGGTGCTGCCTGCCAGGTACACATAGCTCCACCAGGACAATGGCTTGCCCACACCCAGCCATCAACAATGACTGAGATGCAATGACAGAGACCTGTCACGTCCAATGAGCAGGGCTCTGTGTGTCTCAGCAGCCCAGCTCTTGGACCATTTAGCTAAGCCAATCCGAAGAGTTTGCTCTAATGAACAGGACAGTAGCCCAATGAGAAGTTATCAGGGTTAGTCATAAAGTGGCATGACAGAGTTAGTACAGAGCTGCTGAGTTCCAAAAGTGGCAATCCCAGTTACAAAATCCAAACCAGGGTGGCAAAGAGCATGCAGAGAGCAAAGTCCAAGATTTCCATCTATCTCAAGCCACTAGAAGGACCAATTCAAAAGAGATGCCTCTGAGAAGCAGCCAAGCTAAACAGGCATGTGTTGGATGTTAATTTGTTGGTGGAACACTAACCCAGGACATGGACATGGCAAGGCCACCGGAGAGATTCAACAGCACACAGCCCCTGCCAGCTCCCCATCCCAGTCTGCTTCACTGCACCAGGAACTTCCAAACAAGAGTCTGCCTAGGACTGACCAATACCACCTACATGAAAGCTCCAGAGTCACCCACTGGGCTCTGCAGCCACTATCTCTAAAATGTGGGTGGTAATTCCAGATGCCATTCAGGGTGACGAGGAGCTGTGCAGATGGGTCAGGGCTCACACAGGGCTTCCCAGACCCTTGGGGCACACAGCTTCCGGTCCCTCTCCCCAGGAATGAAGCACATTCTGCTTTCCCCTCCCTTCAAGACCAATAACTTGGGTGTATGACCATGTTCTGGACCTCTGTGGACTTGTATATAAACCAAAACTAGATCACCGCATGCTTGCCCTTTCCATCTGTGTCTTAAAGACTGAATGACCTATGGACTAACAGAGAGATTAAAGAGAACAGGAGCAGGGCAGAAATGTCGGCTAACCAGCCTGCTTCTGAAGGGCACAGTGTCCCACTGCCATCCCTTCTGCTCCTGACAGCCTACACTGTCTGCACTGGTTTCAAACTGAAGCTGCAGAGCATGCTGGGAAGATGTCTAGAGCTGAGGCCTGAGCATCCTTTATGGTTAGTAAACTTCTTTGTTGTTGCTGTTGTTAGGTGCCGTCTAAGTCGGTATTGACTCATAGCAACCTTACGCACAACAGAACAAACATTGCCCTGTCTTGCGCCAACATCACAATCATTGCTATGCTTGAGCCCATTGCTACTGCCACTGTGCCAATCCATCTCATTAGAGATCTCTCTCTTTTTTGCTGATCCTCCACTTTACCAAGCATGATGTCCTTCTCCAGGAAATGGTCCTACCTGATAATATGTCAGAAGTATAACAGACGAAGTCTGCTCATCCTGACTTTTAAGGAGCATTCTGGCTGTACTTCTTCTGGAACAGATTTGTTCTTTTGGCACTCCATGGTATTTTAAACATTCTCCTCCAACACCTGACTCAAATGCATCAATTCTTCTACAGTCTTCATTATTCATTGTCCAATGAACATCCATGCATAGGAGACTACTGAAAATACCATGGCTTGAGTTAGGCACACCTTAGTACTCAAACTATCATCTCTGCTCTTCTATACTCTAAAGAGGTCTTGTGAAGCAGATATACCTAATGTAGTATGTTGTTGTTTGATTTCTTGACTGCTGCTTCCATGAGTGTTGATGGTTGATCCAAACAAAATGAAGTCTTTGACAAAGCCTATCTTTCCTCCATTTATCATGAAGTTATTTATTGGTCCAGTGGTGATGATTTTTTTTTTTTCTTTACATTGAGGTGCAATCCATACTGAAGAATGTGTTCTTTGGTCTTCATCAGTAAGTATTTTAAGTCCTCTTTGCTTTCAGCAAGCAGGGATTGTATCATCTGCATATCGCAGATTGTTAATGAGTCTTCTTCCAATCCTGATGCCACACTCTTCTTCATATAATCCAGATTCTCAGATTATTTGCTCAGAATACAGAATGACTAAGTATGGCAAAAGAATACAACCTTGGCGCACACCTTTCCAAATTTTAAACCATTTAGTCTTCCCTTGTTCTGTTCTAACGACTGCCTCTTGGTCTATGGGCAGGTTCCTCATGAGCACAATTAAGTATTCTGGAATAGTTATTTCCCACAAAGTTGACCACAGCTTGTCATGATCCACACAACTGAAAGGCTTTGTTTTGTGTTGTCAATAAAGCACAGGTATCGTTCTGGTACTCTTTGCTTTCAGCCAAGAGTCATCTGATACCAGCAATGATATCCCTCATTCCACATATCTCAATTAAATTTGAACCTCTGGCAGTTCCCTGTTAATGTACTGTTGCAGTCATTTAAAAATTATCTCCAGCAAAATTTTACTTGCATATGACATTAATGACATCGTCCAGTGATTTCCACATTCCACTGGGTCACTTCTCTTTGGAATGGGCACAAATATGGATCTTTTCCAATCAGTTGGCCAGGTAGCTGTATCCAAATTTCTTAGCACAGAAGAGTGAGTGCCTCCATTGCTGCATGAGTTTGTTGAAAGATTTCAATTTGTATTCCATCAGTTCCCGGAGCCTTGTTCTTTGTCAATGCCTTCAGTGTATCTTTAGGATCACTGGCTCTTGATCATACGCTACCTCTTGAAATGGCTGAACATTGACTATTTCTTTTTGGTACAGTGACTGTGTATTCCTTCCATCTTTTTTTGAAGTTTTTTGCAGCATTCAATATTTTGCCCATATGGTATTGTTGCCATCGAGTAGGTTCCAACTCTCAGCTACCATGCACAGGGTTTCTGAGGAGTGACTGGTGAGTTTGAACCACTGACCTTGCAGTTCAAACCGACTTGATGGTTGAATACTTACCCTACAGCACCACATGAAGACTCCATTCTGCACACAGAATCCTTCAATACTTCAAGTCAAGGTTTCAATCTTTTCTTTAGTTGCCTCAGCTTGAGAAATGCTGAGCGTGTTCTCTTTTAGTTTTCTAATTCCAGGTCTTTGCATATATCATTGTAATATTTGACTTTATCTTCTCGAGCTGCCCTTTGAAAATTCCTGTTTAGCTCTTTTACCCTCTTCATTTTTTCCATTTGCTTTAGCATCTCTACATTGGAGAGCAAGTTTCAGAGTCTCTTATGACATCCATTTTGGTCTTCTCCTTTGTTCTTGTCTTCTTAATGACCTTTTGCTTTCTTCCTGTATGATGTTCTTGATGTCATCCCACAACTCTTCTGGTCTTCAGTCATTAGTGTCTAACAAATCAAATCTGTTCTTGAGCTGATTTCTAACTTCAGGTGTGATATGTTTAGCGTCTTTTGGCTCTCGTGGACTTGTTTTGATATTCTTCAGCTCCAGTCTGAACTTGTATGTGAGCAATTGATGGTTTCTTTTACAGTCTGCCCCTGGCCTTGTTTTGGCTGATGATATGAAGACTTTCCACCATCTCTTTCCACAGATGTAGTCCATTTGATTTTTGTGTATTTCATCTGGTGATGTCCACATGTATGAAGTCATCTTTTTTATTGTTTAAAAAAGCTATTTGCAGTGAAGAAATCCTGCAATATTCTATTACGCGATCTCCAGCACCCCTTCTATTACCACCAAAGTCATAGTTTTCAACTACTGATAGTTCTTCTTTGTTCCCAATCTTAGCCTTCCAATCACCAGCAATGGTCAGTACATCTTGATTGCAGGTTTGATCAATTTCAGACTGAAGAAGTTGGCGGAATTCTTGAATTTCATCATCACTGGCTTTAGTGGTTGGTTAGTAAATTTTAGTAGCAGTTGTATTAACTGGACTTCCTTGTAGGTATAGGGATATTATCTTATCTCAGGCAGTGTTGTACTTCAAGATACATCTTGAAATGTTCTTTTCTGATGATGAATGAGACTCCATTCCTCTTTAATTTGTCATTCCCAGCACAGTAAACCATGTGACTGTCCAATTCAAAATGGTCAATACCATTGCATTTCAACTCACTGATGTCTAAGACATCAATGTTTACTCATTCCATTTCATTTTTGACAATTTTCAATTTTCCTACATTCATTCTTCGTTCATTTCATGTTCCTATCACTAATGGATATTTACAGCTGTTTCTCCTCATTTTGAGTTGTGTCCCATCAACAAATGAAGATCTCGAAAGTTCTACTCCATTCGTGTCATCAGAAGGCAGGTCTTCCCTAGTCGGACTTTGAGTGCTTTCCAACTTGAGAGGCTCATTTTCCAGTACTGTATCTGACAACACTCTGGTGGTCTTCATCATTTTTCAATATTCAATATTGAACATCCTGATGCCATATGGGTTATTCTTGTGCTATCTGACAGTGCTCCTCTGCTATTTATAAGGTTTTCAGTGACTAAATATTTGCGAGTAGTCTGTCTCTCCTTCTTACTGGTCTTATTTTCTGGAAGCTCAGCTGAAACCTGTCCGCCATGGGTGACCCTACTGGTATTTAAAATACTGGTGGCATAGTTTCCAGAATCACAGCAACATACAAGCCACCACAGTAAGCCAAACTGACAGACCAGTGGTGGCTTAATCAGTGAACTTCTTTGCAAACCTAATAAAAACTAGGGCATTATCCCTCTTCCAAAGAAACGTACGTGTAGATACAGAGTTTCAAGGGTTCATGGAGCTCCGGAAGCCTACCCACAGTCTGTGGAAGAAGCCTGCTCCCGAGGCAAACACCACTTCATAAACCAAGGGTGAAGGCTTCTATTTGAAGGGGATACTGTACCCTTTGATTCTCAGGAATGGCACCAAATTCTCTCCAAAGAGCTTGGAAACAGCAGAATGGGAATACATGCACAGACTTCCTCTTTTCAGCTGACAACCTCAGTTCCTGCCTTAGGCCCACCTGTTCAAATCCCAGCTCTCCTCAGTAAGCTGTGGCTCCAGCCAGCTTCTTCCACCCAGCCAAGTTCAGGCATGAACAGAGCCCTGGAAATCAGCACACTTACATGCTATTCCAGCTCCTCCATTGCTCCTAGGTAGGTGAGTCCCCTGCCTTCATCTCCTTCAGAGCCTATATCCACTCCTAGGCTGAAACAGTAGGGGAGAATCTGTCTTCATCCTACCTCTGTGGTCACCTCAGGTTAGAAGTAGCCCAGGAAGAGGGCTCCCCACAGGCCCGGGTGGAGTCCGGGTGGACCGGGTGGAGTCCTGGAAGCTTCAATACTGGAAGCACTGTAGGAAGCACCTGGTCCTGACCTAAGCCTCAGGTTGCTCAGAAAGCCTACATTCTGGCTAGTAGTGGCTGACATCAGGTAAGATCACAGTACAGGGCCAAGAGGGAAAGGTCTCCTCCTGCATATTCTGAACCCAAAGGGACAATAAATATCCTGCCCTAGGAAAGGCTTGAGGAGTATGTACTTGTGTGTGGAGAAGGAGCATGTGACAGACAGAGGGGAAACTGTGTATGAGCGTGTAAGAAAAAGTCTGTCTGTGAGAGACAGGAAGAGTGCAAGTGTGTAAGAAAGGGGCAGATGTGTGCTCGTATGTGAAAGTGTGAGTGTGTGCATGTGCACAGGGAGAGTATGCAGATGAGGAGGAAGTGAGTGATTTTGAGGCACAGAAAGGGTGTGCGCACTGTGTGTGAAAGAGAGTTGTGAACCAGAGTGAGTGTGAGCAAAGACCACTGTGAGTGAATGTGTGCATGGAATGCAGAGTGTGTGCGCAGGGGAGAGAAGGTATGTATGTGAGAGAAAGGAGAGTTTGTGAGTGTGAGATGAAGAGGAGAAAGTGGGTATGCAAGTCAGAAGGAGAACAAGTGTGTTAGTGTTTGTGAGTGTACAAGGGAGTGGGTGTCTATATGAGAGACAGAAAAACATCTGTGTGTATGTGAGAGAGGAGACAGTGTATGTGTGTGAGAAAAACAGTATATGTGTGTATGTGTGCGAGGGAGAGCATGTGGCCAAGAAAATTGTTTGTTTGTGAGGAGTGTGTGTGTGTGAAAAGAAAAAGTTTGTGGACGCATGTATGAGTGAGGAGGTGTGTGTGTGTGTGTGTGTGCGCGCGCACATGTGTGCATAAGCTCAGCCCTTTAATTCCCTTCTTACCTCCGCTCGTTTCCAAATAGACGGGCCACCTCTTCCCTGCCAGGGCTTCGGGCCCGAGTCCTATGCTCCAGCCGCCTTCTCTCCACCTGAAAGGCTTCTCGGTGGCTGATCCTGACGGCCTTAGGGATATCTGCCAGGGCGGCATACTGCCTGCTGGCTTTAAAGGCAAAGGCGTGCCCCAGTGTCTCTGCTTCCCGCCCCCTAGAGCTGCCAGAGTCCAGGTGAGCTGGGGGGCGGCTGGCTGCATCCAAGGAGTTGAGGGAGATGCTGTAGACCATGTGGTTGGAGGGTCGAAGACCTGGGGAAGGAAGGGGATGGCCAAGCTCCTGGGAGGGCGATTTAGGGTAACTATACCTGTTGCTGGGGGTGCTGGGGCTGGGGGGAGAGAGTGGTGGGGGCAGCTGCTGCTCTTCAGCCTTCAAGTCCTGTTTTGTCTTCTCCAAGGAGAAGTAGCCGCTCTCCACTCGGACTTTGCGGCCACAATCCATCTGCTCACTGCTCATGGTGATCTCTTCTGCAAGACAAAGATGGAGGGCAGTGTGGGGGAAGGAGGAGAGACACATAGTCAGCTCAGTCTTGATGCCACATGGGTTACTAAGGTTTTTAAACAAGCCTGTTCTGGACCCCAGAAAGGCCGCCTCTCCATCTTGTACTGTCAAAGACCACAAGTGTTAGAAGAACTGCTGGATGGGTTTGAAATGTTCCCACCAACTACCACATCTAGTTGGCCTTTCCATCTGTCCTCAGACAGGTGGGGAGGAAAGGGCAATGGACTTGGCAGGAATGTCACAATGAATGCATGTCAGATATAAATGGGTGTGTCCTGTAAAGGGAGGGGTGGGGGAGTCAAGCTAGGTTACAGCCCAACTGTCACCTGGGCATGACGTAAATGAAAAAAGCCACCCTCACTGGTTCTGGGGTGAAGGAGTCTAAGATAGAAATTGCTTCTGTTCAGCCAGCTCCAAGGTGGAAGGCCAAGAAAGCTTGGTGATGCCCAAGTTTCCTCCCAGCACCCTGCCCCTCTGCTTTCCCTGGGGCTCGGGACAGGCAGGGGTGGGACGAGGCGGACCAGAACTTCCTAAATATTGTTTCTCTTAGAACAAGAGCTTCTAGGGTCCTCCCATGGAGGGTGAGAAGACTGGGTTTTCTGCTTAACAGGAGCGTGGTCAGGAGAGCAGACGTCCCTAGGAGAGAAGGCAAGAGCTTGCTCTGCCTAATGGGATGATTAGGATGTAAATGGGGAAGTAACCACAGTGGTAGAGTATGTCTCTTCATGCAAAACCTTACTATACAGCATCTTTGATTTTCATATCCATGGCTGAGGCCAGGTGCTGTCTTACCCCTGTACAGAGGGCACATCAGAGCTTGAACCATGCCAGCTCCTACCCACAGGACTGAGGGACGCACTGAGCAGTGGAATGCTGGCCTCAGTATGTGGTGGGGAGGGGCTTGTGGCTGGGCATGCCAGGCTCCGACAGCCCCACCTACCTTCTCTGCCCTCCAGCCCAGGGTCCTGTAGGGAGCTGGCAACTGGAGGCTGGCTCTGGCCTGGACTTGGGGCTGGACTCAAGCTGCTTCCATCTGGTTGGTCCTTGGCCTTCATTTCTTCCTGCCAGAGAGTAGACTTGGTGGTGGGAACTTTCTCAGCACTGGGGATGCTGCTGCTGCTGCTGGTGACAGCCATCTTGGCAGGCCCTGGCTCCTGAAAGGAAGCGGGGGGGAGGGGTGGGTGATGTTTGTCTGTGCCAAGCATGGCAGCATGTATCCTTCCAGCTCTCTCTCCCGGATGTCCTGTGTTCACATCTGGGGACATGAAGGTAATGGCAAAACTGAAGGCTTGAGCATGTCAAATGCCTTCGGAAGGAGCAGTGACTTTGTCACATCTGAAGCACAGCCAGCTCCCCAAAGGGTCGGGTCTTACTAAGCCTTGGTATCACATTGGTGAATGTACAGAAGGAGACGTTGAGTTTCTGCTCAGAGCCCTATCACCAAGCACAAGCATGAACTTGGCACTAATGGCTGAACCACAGCGAGCTGGTCCAGACCACGCCATTCCTAGACCTCCAGCCATTAAAAACAGGAGTAAGGGCAAAGGAAGGAGCCCTGATGGCGTTTAGGCACTTGGCTGCAAACCAAACAGGTGTTCAAACCCATCAGCTGCTCTTCAGGAAAGAGATGTGGTAGCCTGCTTCTATAAAGATTTACAGCCTTGGAAACCCGATGGGACGGTTCTATTCTGTCCTCTAGGATCTCTATGAGTCAGAACCAACTCTAGCAATAAGTTTGGTTTTAAGGAGAGAGAAAATATTCCCAGAGTAAATGCAAAGATTGGGTTCACACAGCACCCAAGCTCAGGCATCCCTCGAACCACCCACCTCCACTTAGACCTAGGGAGCCAAAATGGAATCCTGGGACACTACGTGAAGGAAGAAGTCAAGAGATGCAAATCACACGTCCCACTCAAATCTACACATGCACATAAACACACACATGCATACACAGATGTGCATACACATACATGAATACACACACAGGCTCTATCCGACTCTGCAACTCAGATGAGAACTGTGTTCCAAGTGAACAGAGTTGTTTATGGTCCTGTGGGAGGATTGTGGGGAGGACACAGGAAAACTGGACCCCAAACATTCATAGCCTACACCAGGCCAGGGCTGATGTCCAACTGCTCTGTTGCCTTACTTCATGCCTAGGCCCTGCCACCTGCTCAGCCTGAGAACTAGCCCAGCCCAGGCAGGCCCTGCTTAGGGGCTAAGTGGCTGTGGTCCCTCTCAAAGCACTGCACAGCTCAGCACCCTGACCAGAAATAAAAGGGGCTGATATACAAATGCTCCCCTTCACACCCCATACCAGTGACCAAACTTCGTTTGTGGAGATCACTTCTGCCTGGGTCCTCGGCCAGCACTGTTTGTGTATACAATGGTGTGTGCATGCACATGCATTCAGTATGCTCAGGCAAACATGCTACCACCCAATCTACCCAGCAGCCCTAGGGAGATGCTGCAGTGCCCAGAGGTATAGCACAGGCAAAAAGATAGGAGCGTCCAGACTACCACAATTCACGTAGGCTGAGTGGGCACACGAGTGACGAGTGCTATTTTGGAGAGGGCATCCTGGAAGAATGTGGAGCCCAGGCCCCATAACTTGAGAACAGGGGCATTGTGCTGGGTCGAGCCTTCATTCACTTTGCATGGCTCCCACATCTCACAGAATGAGACTAGATGGCTCCTCCTATAGACCCAGGCTTCTGCTTGCCCTCCTGCTTGCCTCAGACGGCCAGCAGACTGGCCCACAGACTGAAGGTCTCCCCAGCAAGCACTCACACAGCTGCCAGAAAGCATTCACAAGGCTCTGAGAATCTGAGGGATGCACATAACAATGACGACCACCTCCAGAAGGTTCCAGCACAGCCAGCTCTTGTCCCAGCAGCAATGCTTCCTCAAAGCACAAGTCACTATGGACTCCAGGGGCAGTCCCCTTCTGACATGCCCTCTGTACCAAGCCAGGGACTTCAGTTTCATGCCTGCTTAGTGGAGGGGACCCACTTTACAGAATGGGTGGGTGGGAAAGATGTTAAGTTGGTCCAGACCAGAAAAGGGGGCAGGGGCTGAGCCCATGAGGGGAAAGGCTTCCATGCTGACTGCCAGTGCCCCACACTACATATGACAGTGACCAGGGTACACATCTATTTCCCTCAGCTCTGGGGATAGGTGGACTGGTGGTAATACTTAGGAAGGGCAGGGCATGTCCAGGTACGAGGTCCAAAGGTACATGACTGGAAGCCTTGGAAATGTCCATGTTTCTAAACCCTACAGGCATCCGCTGTCCCTAATGCCCACTGTGAAAAACTTTGTGATGGTTACAGCTGTGTCAACTCGGCTGGGCCATGAATCTCTGGTTTGGCAGTTATGTAATGACATCATACCCCCCCCCCACCACCACCACCATGATGTGGTCTAATGTGATCAGCCCTAATTTAATGCACAGGGAGTAGGGTGGTCACAGCCCTGATACAGTGTAAAGGGAATCGCCTTGGGGTTGTGGCCTGAATCTAATATAAATGGTCATCTTGGCAAAGCTCTTTATCTTTTTCCTGGCTTTGGATCCTGCATCTGGCTCTCATCTTCTGACCTCTGCTTCTTGGGAGTTATGCCTGCTGTCTGACTTTGGCAACCTTGGTTCATCAGCCCCTGTCAGCCTGATTCCTGACCTAGGGACTTGTCAGTCTCTACAGCCGTGTGAGCCATTCCCTTAATAAGTCTCTCTCTCTAAACGTGTATATCGAAGTTCTATTGGTTTTGTTTCTCTAGAACACTCAGCCTAAGACAAGGCTTCATCCCAGAGAAGATGGCCCTGAGGTGCAGCCCAGCCCAACAGGAACTTCTCAAGCTGGTGCCAATGGGGACAATGGGAACAGAGCTGCTCTCGTGTTCTGGCTAAGGGCAGAGCTCTAGGTAAAGATGCTCTGCTCCTTTAGAACGGGTGTGTGGAAGGCCCAGATGTGTTCATGGCAGAACAGAAAGCACCTGTGCCCAAGTCACTGTGCCCTCGCTGTGGTAGGGAGGGCACCCAGGCTTTCAGGGGGCTCCATTCTGCACAGCCAGGCTACAGCACTCAGGACTATGGACAGCACAAGCGCCTGCTGGGTATTAGGGCCACTCCCATGGAATTCCAAGCAGAAGAGCTCCTCTCCACTATCTGGGTGAAGATGGGTGGGCTCTGGCCCAGAGGAAAATAAGACTCCTACAGAAGGAGGGGGAGCACAGGACCTCCATACGATAAGCACTGATCTGCTAATCACAAGATGAGTCGTTCAATCCCACCAACCACTCCCGCAAAAATTGAAAACCTCGGAAACCCTATATTGGGTTGCTATGAGTTGGAAACAACATGACAACACTTAATAACAACAAGAGGGGAGGCCCTGGGTGGGTCTCAGGGCTGGGTACTTGGACCAGCAGGACTCTTCTGATACCAAGAGCTGGACTGGTCTCATGACCTCTGAAGAAAGGCAGGAAAAGTGAGAATGGAGAGCCCAGTAGGCTGGGGAGATGGGAATGCCAGCCTGGAGGAGAGAGGGAGAATGCAGGCTAGTGAGATGCCAGGCCTCTGTATCTGCTGGGGTCTCCATGAATCCTGCCCTGCTGACACGCAGGTGATCTTTTCCTTCTCTTCTAAGCTTTGGGTGCCAAGAAAGAGCCCTTCCTACTGAGAGCATAACAGGGCAGAGAAAGGAGCTCTTCTGGGCCAGACCTCAGAGAGTCAATGTCAACAGTGGGTACAAAGCTACTCGTGTATCCTGAGGGAAAGGAGTGTGGAGCGTCTGAGGCTCTAGAGACGGTGGGCCTGCACCCTCCTAGTTTTGGGCTGTGTGAGGAGCCCCTGCCTCCCACTGAAGGTGGTTTACACTCCCATGACCTCTGAAGACTATGGTCATGTTCTCTCCTAAGAGAGGGCCCCACAGTAGTGATCTTCACATATTTGGCCTGACTCTCCAAGACCCACAGCTTCCCTGTGGTCTGTTTTATAAAGGAGACTCTCAGCCCTCTGCTAAGCTGAGTTCCTGGAGGACAGTGGTCGAGGATCGTAGATTACAGCAGCAGCAGATGTCTCAGGTCCTAAGCTGGTGTTGTCAGCTCTCCTGGGTCATGTGGGCCTCGGAGAAGGGACAGTATCTCCAGAGGGCCCTGACACCTCCATTCTCAGGCTCCAAAATGCCCTCAGCATTAGGTGCAGGGTGGAGGCTGGTCCAGACCCCAGTGCAAGCCATATCCCCCCATAACTTCCCTGGAGGTCCCCACATCATTGTCCCAACACTGACTCACAAGGGTGGCCCCTGAAGTAGATAGAGTACAAGCAACCCCACCTCACTTGACAAAGGTCCCTGAAACACGTCCATAGCTGTTAGACACAATAGCCTTTGAAGTGAAGCCCTTGGGGCCAACAGGCAGGAGGAAGTAGTGGATCTGCCCGAGGCCTCTACAAGGGTTTCAGGGAAGGGCTGAGTGAGGGCTTGGCTGGGTTAAAAGGCCCCAAGTTTCCTGGGTCTAAGAGACCTTCAGGGAAGTGGATGACCTTTCTGCCTGGAATCATGCTGGCTCCAGTTATTGACCCATGGCTCAGGGACCAAACAGTAAAGCCAGCATGGTCATGGCCAGAAGTATTTGGGGGCTGATGTCACATAGGAGGGGCTGACAGGGGGAAAACCGTCACCAAACCCCTGGTCTGCTCCAGGATGTCCTCTGTGCATGGAGTTACCTTATTTGGAAGCAGACGCTCTGCTCCCACACCGTTTCCAACAAGTCACCATGGAAACGCAACATAACCCTGCTGCTATTTTGCCTGAGATTTTTTTTCTCTCAAACCAGGCAGCTTTGGGGGACTGGTGTTTAACTGATGCTCCCAGCAAGAAGCACCACGGGAGTCCCAGCTTCAGTCTCCAGGAATGACTGACTGCATTTTTGCCAACTGCCTGCCAGACTCAGACATTGTTCCTGAGACGCTGTCATGAGTGTCTGCTGGGACTTCTTGGTAAGGGACAGAAGGAGAGTGACCTGAGGCAGACATTCAAAGCAGAGAGTCTCTAGTGAGCGTGGAGGAGTGGAGAGTCAGACCTGAGCAGCTCCTGGGTCCCACCCACTCTGATCTCTACACACAGGGGACTGTGGATATGAGTAGTGAGGGCCCTCTCCATTTGAGGAATGTTCACAGCAAATGTGGCACAGAGAACAGGAATGATACTGGCAGGCTTTGTCCTCCTTTTCATGTTGCAGTGACTGACACTTGGATACCAACCCCTTCCCCAATTTGACATAACAGGAAACTGAGGGTCAGAAAGGTGAGGTCACTCCAGCAGGGCCCCAGGAGTGTGACAATGCCCAGGAGGGAGGAGGAGGGGTGACCAGACACTCAGGGCCTTTGGGGAAAGGACTGGATCTGGTGGCATGACCCCAGTCATCACACACTTGACTCCTATGGTCAAGGTCACTGCTAGGCATTTACCACTTATGGTCAAAACCCAGTGGCTAGCAGGGCCTTACTAAGAGCCCCTTACTTGGCCAGGATGCTCTGGGATGGCCCCCACCTCTCTCCTCAGGGTGCCATTTGCAGGGCCATCTCTGAGGAAAATGAAGCAGTAAATTCTCTCCTGTAGCTCCTCCTGATTCACCCTCTCCTCGAGTCGGCACCTGCCTTCTGATTAGAAGCCCCATCACAGCCCCCAAAACCTCCAGCAGGCATCCCGACACTTGTGCCTGCAGAGGAGGTGGGTGTAGCCCCAAGATGTCAAGGAAAGGGGTCCTGGATGACTGCCCTTACCACCAACCCCTTTCTAGGCTGAGTCCTGAACCCCATTACCTCTAGGGCACTCTCCCTTTCTCCCAGCCCACTGAAGGGGAACCTGGCAAACCCAGCACCTACCTGGGGTGTAGGAGGTTCCACTTTTCGTTTCTTCTTCTGGTTCTGCTTGTTGGTCCGGGGGTAGACAATGAGCATCTCCAACCATCTGGAAATAGGAGAGAGGGGAGCCAGGTGAGTCTCCTGCACCCGGGGACCATGACTGTGGTCCCAGAGGGGCAGCCCATCATCAGGCCCACCCAGTGGCCTCCACCTGCCTGAGACCAGGCTGAGCCAGAAGAGCTGGCCACAGAAGCACAGAAAGGGTCCAGAGTTGGACACTGACCCTGTGATGACCATGTTGTCCATAGACATCTAGGGACTGGATCTGTAGGCCCTGAATAAGCTAAGCTCCACCTAGGCCAAGAACAGGCTGAGTACAGGGCCACAGAACTCAAGGCAGAGCAGAGTTTCCATCAGTAGCCCAGTCCGCAGGGGTCACACTCAGCTGTAAGCCCCTTCCCAGAGCAGAACCTTGAAAACCTTGTGGAGTTCAGAAGGACTGGCTTGAAAACCATGTGGCACTCTCTTAAAGAATACCTGCCCTGTGCAGGAATCCAAAGATCCCGACAGCAGGCTGCCTGGGGGCTAAGCAGCTGACCTTCCAGATCTTCCAGCTCACTGCTGAGACCTGTCCTGCCCAAGAAGATCTAGCAGTAAGGGTTGCCAGATTCACCTGGACAGGTATTAGGGAAGGTAACAGGAGGCTGCAACTACAAGTGACTCCAATTGTAGCTCAGACACTGTGTCCACCAGCAGCCTTGGCAGTCCCACTCCTCTGGGCCCTGGCTTTCATTCTGAAATGTGGCAGCATCCCACCGTACAGAGTATACAGTGGACAGTCCTACATTGTTGGGGAGGGGCAGGAGGAGCCAAGGTCAGGCCCACCTGTTCTGAGATAAGTGCTCCTGGGGATGGGAGGGCATTCTGTGCTCTTTCTAGTGTGAAAGGGCTGTAGGACCTGGTCGATGTTGACCCCATAGTGGCCTATGGTGAGGAAAAGACTGGCAGTCCAATGAGTCAGGTACAATGGCATGCTGATCCAGCCATGTGACACTGAACTGGGCAGTAATGGGGCTGACCTGCAGCACCAGAGGGGCTGCTTTCCTTTGGAACTGCTGCAGGCAGGGAAGGAGCATAGCTAGGTACGTCAGGGTCTTCTGGGTAAGCTGTGACAGCTGGTGAAGCCGGGTTTAGGTGCGAGAATTCTACTGACCATGGTGCCCACCTGCAACATAGCAAGACCTAGATTTGCTGAGAGTGAACCACTGTCCACAACCATCAACGCGTGGGTCACAGGCCTGCACACCCTTCTCCATGGGCTCCAGAAGCTAGAAAGCTCTCCAACAATTTGTAGCAGTCAAGGTCCCTCTAAAGCCTTACCCTGTGATGGAAGGAGCATGGTGGAGGAGCAGCAGCCCTCCAGATGCCCTGAACTACTACACTGGTACAGGTGCTCTTAGAACAGAAAAAAGCCACAGTCTTGCTACTTGGGACCACAAGGGAACAGGAGAGCCACATAGTAGGATGAAGAGTACCCGGAGCTGCTCCCAGGTCCACATTCTTCCCATGACTCTTCCTGCACCAGTCATGGTGGGCCTGGAGCTGGCCCCTAGACCCTGGAAGCACTCAGAGTAGATGTGTCCTGTGGCTGCACTGGTACTTAGGGGAGCATCTGAGTCCTCCCAGATTTGGGGTCCTCAGAGGCACCCGTCTATGCAGGTGGGAGCCTCCAGCTTAGAAAAAGGTGGTGGGCTGTTTCCTCTGCACTCGGATTCCTTATAGGAGCCAGAAGGAATCAAAAAACATTAGCCAGTTGTGTTTAAAACTCGTAACAAAGTACAATTAGTGCAACGAAGGGGAGGGGCTGAAGTGGACATGGGATGGAGAGCAGGGGACATGGCTAGGAGGCAGAGCGCCATGGTGAGTGAGAGGGTGTGGTGGGAGCACACTTTCCCCAGGGGAAGCACAGAGAAGCCATTCTGGCCAGCTCCCATGAATCACCTCTCACGGAGCTGTGCCACGGTGTGATATGGTAGTGCCATCAGCCTAGGAGCCACCTCACATCTCCATTCAGCTCTGGGAGGGACAAAGTGGCCCATTCAGCTGCCTCTGGACCCTCAGTGCTATCCAGAAAGAGAGCCAGGTTGGATTTCCTTGTAGACTCCCTGTCCCTTGTCTGACTTGCAGAAACATCTGACACCACCCTCATGACCTGGCTTTGATTCACTCTGGACTGCCCATATTACTAATGCCTCAGCCGTATCATGGGCCCCTGAACTCAGGGTGGAGGCTTGAGAGGAAGGTTATTGGGCAAAGGAGTGAGACCCAGTGGACAGAGAGGAGAAGGGCAACAGAAGCTTCTGTGCCCAGGGTGCACGTGTTTCCCGTCTCCCTGACAGAGGCCAAGTGCCGCAGGGGGACAGGAGGGCTGCAGCAGTCCAGGGACAGACTCCACGGCAAGACCCTGCCTACTGGACAGGAAAGAGTGAGAGGTGTAGCCATGGCACGAGCCTTTGGCCCATGGCTGTCCAGCCATGAGCAGGAACCTCGGGCCCCAGTGTCCAGAATGTCTTCTCAATGCTCTTGTCTGCTAGGCTGCATGGGAATGGCAGAGAGCAACCCAGGGCAGGGGCTTCAGGGTCCAGGACCGAGGACCTGATCTGTGCCAAGTCCTGAAGAGCAGGACACAGGCTGTCAGTCATAGGGCCACACACAGGCTGAAGGCCACCATGCACTCTCCTGATGTCACACATTACCTTCATGCTCAAGGAAAAGGGCAATGGTGGAAGTGAGGATGTGTCCTGAGTGTCTGCCTTGTGAACTGAGACAGGGGATCAGCACACAGGACAATGTGGGGCCTGGTCTGAGAGTGTGCTGACAGCCAGTATCCATTCCAACATAGTGGGCACACTCACCCGCTGATGATCTCCTTATTCTCAGCCCGGATGAAATGCTCCTTTTCAGGTGTCAGGATGCACAAAGAGAACTTCTGGCCTGTCCGGCTCTCTCCGTCTACCACGTCTGTGCACTGGTTCATGTTGATAGTACCCTGGGGAAGGGTGGTAGGCTACAGGGAGAAGAGGAGACAAGATTCACTCCATGGCTACAGATAGAGGCAGCATCCAATGCTCCCCACCCAGGCCACTTCTGACCACTGTCACCTGTCCACAGGACTGCTTGGGACCTGCCCATGATAAGACAGTATAAACAAGGCGAGTGTCTTCCCAGGCCTTGACACTCTACTTCCTCTCCTTCAATACCCAAGGAGGAAGAAGGACAAGGACTTGAATTTCTCCAGAGAACCTCAGTTAGGCATATTTTCTTCAAGGAGAAGGGGGTTGGGGAGAGACAGGAAGGGACAGTGGTTCAGTGAGGACAGCTGGGAAAAGAGAGGTAGCCAAGAGCCTGGTTTCACAAGAGAGCAGTTAAGAAAAAGCTTGAGAAGAGTTGGCTTTGAAAATAGCCAGGATATTTTTAGAGGCAAACAGGAGGCCAGACAGAAGCTGCATCAGTGAGAGGGGCTGTCGGGCTGGGTAGGAAGGGATATGCCAGCCATAAATTCTCTCCAGGGGACCCAACTAGCCTGCAGGGACACACAGCACCTTCCTGAGACTGCCTGGGGGCTACACCAAAAAAGACCATACTGGATGTCCTGGTAAAACTGTTTTTTTTTTCTCCCTGACAACAAAAACTTAGACATTCAACTGAGGGACAGAACATGAAAAACAAGAAAAGAGGACTTTAAGGAATTCCTGCTGAGGCAAAGGTGAGATGAGAGGATCTTCTTAAGATTATTTTATTTTTTAGCATCCTCTGGCCGCACGCTCCTCCCTCCCCAACAACAACAACAACAACAATATATATATATATATATGAAGAGCCCTTCTGGAAGGAGGTACTATATAGACTGGGGAGTGGAGAGTTCAGCATCAAACAGGTCACCATGGTTACTTGAGCCAGGAGTTTCCTCCCAGGACATCACAGAAATGCATTCACAGCTGAAGATCCCATGGCTTGGGTAGAGTGCCAGGGCATGGGGAGGAAGTCCTGGGAAGGACCAGGCTCCAGCTCTGATTGGCCTTAGCCCTGGGCCCAACGATGCTTCCTAAGCCAAGCACAAGAGACTAGTGGCTGCCAACTCAGTCCACTCCAGTTGGAAGACCCTCTCAAATCATGAGCTTCCTGCTGCTGCCAACAGAACAAGGAGTCTGGTTATGACTCTGAGCTCCTGCCAGTTCCCCTTGTCCCTGAGATCTGTCCCAACATGGCAGCAGGTCTGACACTCTCTTCCCCACAGCAGGAGAAAGGAATACACTTTTCAGCTCCAAGAAACCTGTCCTCTTCAGCTCAGGGTTTGGCGCATGTTCCCTAAGTCAATTCAGAGTTGTGCAAGTCCAGTAAGAGGGAAGGCCCCTGACTCACAGAGACCAGATGTCTGTCTGTCTGTCTGCCTCTGACCTTCAGTGGGCAAAGCATGCACATCCTCAGTGATGTGTTCAATATGTGGCCTGCTTCACAATTGATTCTGGGAACACAACCCATATCCAGAAGTCTGTGCCTTCCACAGACTAGATGCTGTTGTGAATTCCTCTACTGGCATTCTTGTAAGGGCCCTGGGTGAGAATAGGCAATAGAAAGGAGTTGGGCTATCCAGGTAGAGGGTGGCTCATCAGGTGAGCAGTGGGCAGGCATGAGTCCTTGCACTGTGGTTTACATTAGGCCAAAAGTCCTCATCTGTTCTGTGACTGAGGAAGACCACAGAGTCCCTCTAACAAATCAGCACTACTCCCATATACAAAAAAGTGCACTTTCCAATTAGGGCTGGGGTCTGGTGAGGGAACGTTCCCAACTCTCTCTTATGCTCCAGTCACTTGATTCTATGGAAATTCCAATTCTCTGTGTCCCTATTCCTTAGTATCATGCATACAAACGTCGTGTGACCCATTCAGAATGTAGGCACCCACATGCACAAGTGAGTGTCCCCAGTTAGTTCTGGACAAGGTACTCCTGTTACTCCATGCTTTGAATCTCCTGTTTGTTAAGTGAAGAAACTGATCTCAATGGACTGTTAACAAAGACCAAGGGCAGAAGAGGAGAATGGAGAGAAAGTAGAGGGCCAAGAGGCTTTCAAAGGTGACCTTTCTGCCACCATTCTAGATTCCCACTCTGGCCCACAGGCCTGTGGTTTTGCTATGCTGACAGCACACACCCACTGGTGACATAGAGATGAAGCACAGATACAATATATTATATCCCTATACCATGGTGCAAGGAGTCCTGGTGTGGCACTACAGAACGCTAACTGGAAGTTAGCACTGGACGGCTAACTGGAAGGTTGGCAGTTCACACCAACCAGCCGCTCCTCGGAAACCCCAGACAGGATCGCTATGAGTCAGAACTGACCAGACAGAACACACTTCCACTCACATGTAGATGAACCAGGGACAGTGAAACACAGACATATGAATTCTGATGGCTTCTCCTCCATGGAAGGCCATGCCATGTTCTGGAGGACACAGGTTCCAGTTTAAGTCACTGCAGCAAAATGCAAGCTGTCTCTCAAACCCCATTCTCTCTTCCTTCCACAGGATTGTTCGACCTGACCACACAGTCACCCAACTAAAAACAGCAGTTTCCTGCCTGAAAGGAAACTAGATGTGGCCACATGGTCAAGAATCACTGATGGACAACCTGGACCCAATACAACTTCACACAGGAGTTGACACACTGTCTGTCTCTCAGGCCTCAGTTTCCTCATTTGTGAAATGAGGACTCTACCTTCTTCCAAAAAGGATTTCAAAGCATCAATAAAAGGTAAAGACATTACTAACTAAGGGATGGAAGAAGCTAATGCTTACTTGCGACCTATATATCAGGATCTCTTCGAGGTCCTGTCACATGACAATCTCCTCTACACACCTTTCACATGAGGGAGACATTATCTAATCCTAGTACATATTTAAAATACCAGTGGCATAGTTTCCAGAATCTCAGCAACTCACAAGCCACCACAGTACGACAAACTGACATACGAGTGGTAGAAACAGAAGGTAGGTAATGGTAGGTAATAGTTATCAAAGAAGGAAATACTGTGCTTACAATCCCAACCCACATCTGTGATTTCAAAGCTCAATTTCCACTGAATCACAGGGTATCCAGAATGGCTCTAACATCAGATACTACCATTCTTAGTTATTATCCTCAGTGTTAAATGTTTCTTTTTAGTAACAGCTTTATTGAGATATAATTCATCCCTCCATCCCCACTAAAAGAAACCCTGTACCATTAGCAGTTACTTGTCTTTTCTTCCCAGTTACCAACCCCACCAGCCCTGGTAACCACTAATCTACTTTCTATCTCCACTAATCTGCCTACTCATGTAAAAGGAATCATAATACGTGACCTTTCATGTCTGGCTCCTGCCACTGAGCATAAGGACTTCATGGTTCACCTATGTGGTAGTCTGTATCAGTGCTTAATTCTTTTTTATGGCTGAATTATGCCCCAATGAACGTATGTTCTTGTTTACCCAATCATCAGATGAAACAACTTGAGTTGTTTCCACCTTTTAACTACTATGAATAATGATGTAATGAACGTTAGTGTAAGTATCTGGTTGAGTCCCTGACCACCCCACCCCCCTTTTTTGTATGTACTTCTCACATATTGACATGGTTAGGTTCCAAAGACCAGGTCATTAAATGAAAATCGATGCTATGTAAAAATAGAGGGTGACTACGTTATTACATAACTGCCAAATTATTACGTAAGTGCCAATAGGATCATGGTCTAGTAAAGGTGACATGGAACCCTAACTGTCACAAGCAGCCTTACTCTTCCCTTGGACCTTGGCAGTCATTACTAATTACTAATGCACAAAATGGCTGGATAGATTTTTTTTTTTTACTATTGTCGTAAATGTGAAATGTTAATGAGATGATGAGTGAGGACTTGTCGTTATTGTTAAGCACTGTTCAATCTGTTCCAATTCAGAGACCCTATATAGGGTTTGAATCCTGGCTGAGCTTAACAGTATGGTGGTGGTGGTTGTGTGCTGTAGAGTCAGTTCTGACTCATAGCAACTCTGTATAGGGTTTCCGAGGCTGTAAATCTTTATGGGAGCAGAAAGCCTTATTTTTCTCCCATAGAATACCTGATACTTTTGAAGTTCTGACCTTAAAGTTAGCAGGCCAACTTATATCCACTATACTACCGGAGTACTTATCCTAAAGCATCACACTAAGCCTCCTACTCTCCATATATATATACAGTTACCATACAATGCACCTAAAGTGGCACTTAACAACAACAATGGTAACTTTATATATATGAAGAACGTGGTAGCTCCATACAATAAGCACTACTGCAAACCACAAGGTTGGCAATTCAAACATACCAGTCTCTCCTCAGAAACCCTATATAGGGTTTCTATGAGTAGGAAAGAACTCAACAGCACTTAACAACAACAACGTGGTAATTTTATGTTTAACGTTTGGAGGAACTACCAGACTGTTTCCCAAAACACTTGCACCATCCATTTCCCTCTCCTACCAGGTATACATGAGTGTACATTATTCATTTTTAAAATGTATTTATGCCTCACTTCTAACCAGTACTCCTGAACAGAAGGTCCAGGTGTGCACTGACACTCCTTATTAGTAGTAATAGCTCATGTACAACTCAGAACCACCCTATGAGGCTGCTGCTAGTACCACCACTATTCTACAAATGGGGAAGCAGGTCAGAAAGAAGCTAAGTACCTTACTTAAGGTCACATGGGTAGTATGCAACCAAGAGCCAGGATTCAAACCTCTGGCTCGCTATGTCTCAGATTCACAAAGCTATGGTAAACTGAATTAAGAGTTTGCCAAAGGCAGCCAGGCCAGGCTCAGGGTTTGGCTCGTGCCCTCAGGTACCAGCCAAGCCCATGCTCTGGCTCAGTCCAGGGGTTGGTTTTGCCACCTGCATGTTAGTTCTCTGAAGAAGGAGAAAACCCGGGCCTTGACGATCACTTCCCAGCCACGGCCAAACCTTGGGCTGTGACCTGAATTCAGCTGGAAGGAACAT